TCTTGCATATTTCTGCATCTCTAGAATTGGAAATTTATATTCTGTGTATATTTGGATATAACAATAGCACATTGATGCTGAAGTTTCCCTTCTTGCATAACTCCATAACCCTGGTGATCCAAAGAAATACAAATCTGCATTGCTTAATCCTAAACCCCTCGCTTTCTCTTTTCATTCCCCGAATTTACAATATGGTTATAGTTTCTTTACCAATTTTGATACGATTTTGAAAGCCTTTATACTGAAATACCATCGCGACTGAAAAATGGTATTTCAACTGCAGAATAAAAACACAAAAAAATTAATGGAACCGGGATTCGATCCTTTAACCACTGGATGGGAAGCGAGCATTTTTCCCCTGGACCACTTCTGAAAATCTAATTAACTAGCGCTTTCCATTTAAAGTTTTACCCTTCTCCCGATATAAATACTAGAGATGAAGGTGTCATTATGTAGATTATGCCTTCGATTTCTCGAAATTGTCCGGCACACTAATTTTTCTAAATTTTTCTAAATTTAGAAGGTCACGGAACTGACACCCGGCTTACACGCGGATAACCTCCTTCTAATCCGTGCCTATCTTGCCCGGCCATAGCCAGCTTTTACCAGGAGGGGGGGGGCTTTTTTCCAGGGGGGAGCTTTTTCACAATTTTGGCTAAAAATCATGCGAAAAAGTCTCAGAATGGTGAAAAACTGCATAATTTTGAAAGAATTTCGGGCCGGGGGGGGGGAGCTTCCGCTCCCCCAGCTCCCCCTCTGGCTACGGGCCTGCCTATTGCCTAACCTATTTTGTGTTTCTACTATATGGTTGTGCTTTGATATTTTGTAGTAAAACAATTATAAGTTATAACCCTTTTTGTATTTCTATGATTGGTTTTGATATTTCGTAGTAATACAATTATAACCAGGTAAACATTATATTAAAGCATTAAAAATCTTGTCTGTTGTATGGAAACGTAAAAATCAACGGTCGAGTTGTTTAATATAAATGGTTGTAATATACCAGTTACGTCTTTTTTTAGGCGAGTACCTTTTTAATAAATCTGATGGTCGGCGAACATGGAAGCAATCGAACGCGTTAACAAAATATTCGTGCATTACTGGTTAATTCAAAAATCGCATGAACGTATATTGTTTGGATGAAAGATACATATTTGAAATGAAAATATCACTAAATAGAGCTTTGCGCATGTCATAACAGATCAACTGGTTAGTCAGGGGGGGGGGGGGATTTCCCGAGATGACCTATCATATTGGCACATTCGAAAACAAATTTTATAAACAGGCCTCAATTTGCCGTTGAAATGGATCTTCAAATGTTCACTAGTTTTATGAGTATTCTCTACAAGTATGGATCGAGTAACTTCAATAGTATCACTGGCGTATCTGGGGGGGGGGGGGGGTCGCAGCACTGAGAGAGCACGTGCTCATGATTGTTCACGTGATGACATCCTGCAATTTGATTGGAGATGATGCGGGAGATGATGTAATGGAGAATTCCCGAATACGATAGAATATGAAAGAATTATGGGAGCTACTCACTTCTGTGGTTAGTTATGTTTTCCTTGGATCAATGAGTCAACATTCTCATTATCGGGCAAAACACTTTATATATTTGTATATTACATGTGCATGTTGTTCATCTAATAAGAGAATATACCATTTTAAGCACTCCCAACATTAATGACTTAACCTTGTACCCAACGGTACAATAAAATGCATGAATGAACACTTGGAGTTTTACTGTCAGTCTCATCACGCGATGTTGCGTCGGCATTACACGATTCAAAATTATGTTTTCATTATATATCTTGCTTCAGACAAACACATATTAATGTTCTAAACATAATTTTGCATCAGACTGAAGCACAGTAATATTCTTAGCAGACATCATATGTCAACATAGTCTATTTAAAACATAACACGATTTTACTTATTCTATTATGATTTTTCTCAACTTTATTGTGAACTAAGTATACAAGCCTTTACTTCAAGTACTTTTGATATATTCACAAGCAAAGATTTTGTTGGTGTGCAGTTATTTCATCTTTTAAAATGTACGTCTGTACTAGACGTGCTACATAGGTGAGATAATAAAAAGGAATGTTACCCATTCAACATGCAACTTGTACAATAACTCTAAGGCGACTTCATTTTAGGTTACTGACATACATCTTTTTGGCAGATAGTACATATATTTAAACCCACAAGTGCAATATAAAACGTAAATATAAAAAACTTCAAATGTTCATAAACCTGGAACTATGATTGCATTGCATAAAAATATAAATACTGCAAAATATGGTATGGATGGCTGCATCACAACTGTTCCACTCAAAGTTTAATCTTATGTACATATATATGTTCAAAATGTTGTTTTATAATTACTATTGTCAAACTGTTTTACTATCTACAAACATCTACTCATATACTTATGAATAATGCATATATACAGAATACTATTCTTTTCAAAAACACCTGACAGAAGGTATCGAGAAACTACTGTACTTAAAATTATGTGTCATGCCCAAAATGTACTGCATTTGTAACAATATTGCACACATATCGTTAGCACCAAGTAAATATTTGATCATTTGAAAAGCTGAAATATCTTTATTATAGTATACTCTTACAATTGCTTAATTGTTGAGATCTTATTTTGGCATTTTTTAATTGATACTCATGACACATAAGGTATATAGCAACTTTATTCTAAAAATATCGAAATCCTATAAATCCTATAATGGGCCATATGATGTATATTTAACATGGCATGAAAATAATATGTACAAAAACTTCACCAATGTTTCTTTCTTTAATCAGCATTGATGCTTTAAGTACTTCGATCTTGAACTTCCATATAAATATAACTATATCACATTAAAAAATATAATACACTACTCAGGAGTTAATACTAATGTGGCATGAAAATACTGTGTACAAAAACCTCACCAATGTTCACTTCACAAAGTGACTGTTTATCAGGAGTGTCTACATACACACTGCTCTACATCTTTACTCTTAGTCTTGAGCATTCATATACATAACTCTATCACATTTAATAATATAATACCTTACCCTGTCTTTAATACTAGTATGTGTAATGGCATGAAAATAAAATGTACAAAACCTTCATCTTATAATTAAGCATTATCACTGTATCCAAAATGAAATTCATGGAAATGCTACAATGACTAGTAAAAAAACAAACTCTATAACAGCAACATCAAGGCGTAGCAAAACCCAAAATATTAATGCATCAGACAAAGCTATCAGAAATCCTTTATCAAAATTGTCACAATTTTATACAATTTTCGCTAGTTAAGTTTTCAAGCTGACATTAAAGTATTAATAAACCTGCTCCTTTGCTTGTGGAATTATATCATAAAATGTAGATGGATAGAAAATAAATATAAAAAACCTACAAGTTATTTACAGGAAGTATAAATGCTATATAAAATCACATTACGTTTTGAGTTATGTTTAGCATAAAATATTAAATAACTCATAACTATGGCAAAAAAGGATGGACATTTATATTTTGATCTCTCTTCCTCTATATTCCAATCGACCTTTTTTGATGTGATAATAAATTGATGGTAAAATAAAAGCCAAATCAGTACCAGAGTTCCTCCCAAACAGGTCCACAGGTGCTTATTTGAAATGTTTAAACTTGACAGGATGTAACAAAAATATGACAAAAGGTCACAAATTTGTAAACATTCATGCATGCGTTCATGATACTAATGTGTGAGTATAAAGGCCATGTGTCAACTTTATGATCAATAATATCTAAAAATAATTGTTATTAAATAAACGCCCATCCCCTTGGAATATGTTTTTCCCTTCACGTAAAGTCCTATATGCATTTATTCTGAGTTCTTTCAAATAAATGACCTTTGCAAAATAGTTACGCCCAGTGGGTCCATTGCAAGAAACTCCTGTACATGTTGTTCAGATATTGTCTACTAAAAAGTTCCATCAAATAAATATGCAAATAGATCTTCCTCTACTGTTTCTTGTTTTGATGTAATACTAATAGGTGAACATATGGTATCATCATTTTCTTGTGAAGATAATTCACACTGCTGTTTCTCTGTTCCAGACATTAACTGCAAGTAAACAAGACACCATATTATATTTAACATGAAGGCTGCATTGGTCCAATATAAAGATATAGTAGATGAGGGATGATTTAAAAAAGTTCATGGAATCTAACATCAATTAATTAGTATTGCACTCATGATAATCTGTTTTATATAGTGGAGCTGTTGAGCACCAGTCTACTCAGCTCTAGCCAAAAGCCTTTTAACAACCAATGTTTTACCATTATGAATGGATGAAATACTAGATATAGTACACATATGTATCAAATGTATCTAACATATCAAAGTAATTATATCTAAAGTAAATATGATATATTGGGATGGGACCATTCTGAAAATGTTTTAATCACAATTTAAATATTGTCATTGGGAGCCTTTGTTGAATGTCACTACTTGCGTATATACTTATACTCTTCGACAAATATGTACATAAACTGATCTATTCATTTTTGAAGTTAGATGAATAGTTTTGCAATTTAAACAGAACTTGTTAAAAAAATTTATTGACTTACAAAGCTACCTTTACTGTGACTGATCAAGCATTGCATATCTATAATATCAACAATATCAAACATGCTCACCAATTCTTCCATGGAATAATTCATTGTCTGGTGTTGGTATGCCAAGTCCTCCACCTCTGATTCCACTTTTCTTCTCGGGTTCTGGACCATTTTCTAAAAGTGTAAACAATTGATATTACTGCATTTTTATGTTCCATTCAACTTCATTAGTGTCTCTTTTTTTGTAATAGTTTTACTTTTGTTGTGAACATGTTTTTTTATCTTTAGTACCAGAAGTGCACTGGATAAAAAGAGTAGCACTAAGAAAGTTCCTGCGAATGATGTCGGAACGCCAACTTTTAAGACCAATGACCCTCTCCCTCCTTAACAGTGCAAATACAGTTCACTTTCAATCACGATCAAAAAGTGATCTTTTTAAATGCTACCTTAAGGATATTGAGTTGGAACCCTGTCTTCCTATCCTCCTTGATTCAACCTTAAAAGCTAATTAAAATTGACTTCAATTACCCATAAAATCTGATTTGCTACAGAATGATTGCAATCTTCCCTCACAACTGAACAGATATAATTTCTAAAAATAAAAATAATTTTACAAAGAAATATGTTCGACTTTTTTGCAAAAAATTGGAGATGCTAGTAGCTGCTATACAACTGTTTAGGCTTACCAATTTTCTTTTTTGCTGCAATGTATACCGCCTACGTCTCCTATATTTGGTGGGAGATGGTGTGTCGTCCTCGGTATCTGCAACATACCCTTTCCAACATACAATACCAATCATCTGGTGCCAAGATTTCGATGTTCTTTGTTTGCTCGAAAGCAATTGTTTTTTAACTTTTGATCTCTCTTTTGATCTCCCTGCGTCACTATCAAGATCAGCAACTGACCCTTCTTTTGGGCGAGACTTAGCTTTGGCACTCACTGCCTCACTTCTGAAATAAGATTCATTAAAATTAACGTACAAATAATTAATGCAACGAATACTTCAACAACCCAACAGCATAAATTCATGTTAAATTAAATAGAATTATATTCCCAAATATGATGTGTATGGTAATTGATGTACCATCACACACCATTTAAAATATATTTTCATTTGAAAAGTTCCATGAAGGAAAAATTTAAATTGAAACTCTCATTTTGACAGTTTACACCGAAAGATAATTGTAAAAATAGTATGAGATAGTTTGCCTACTTTGAATGCTAGATGTTAGATCCAGTGTACAATGATTTTTTACCCAATAAACAGCTATAATAATACATGTTCTATCTTATACTTACATCAATGTGTAATCAGAAGAGTATTTAGGAGACCGGATGCCACTATTACTTTCATCTTGAAAGGAACTTTCAGTATCAGTAGAAAAAATGGTTATAACTTCTGGACACGTCTGAAAATAGAAAAATGTAATGTAACATGTTGATTTATGAATTTATGACTTAGTGAATAAGCAAGGAAAAACACTGGGATTCTTTATTTTCATAATTTTGTAGCCTAGAGTTAACTCTTCTTGGAATCTTTTTGAAAAGTGAACCAATTGGCAAATGCTGGCTACTGGCCTGCTGTCATCCTTTGGTTATTACATTGAATACACTACCTGCATGTGTTATTTTCTGGTAGAGACAGTAAATCTATACTAAACTCATGAGATAGTGACTCTTCTACAACTTAATATAGGATTTAACTACCACTTCAGTTCATAATATTGAAATAACATATTCCCAGCGCTCTCTCTCCAACTTTGTAAAGCATAAGTGAAAAGTACAAGTGAGACTGTACCAAAGTGAATAACTGAGTAACCAGTGTCCAAAGTGTCAAACCGACACTTAAAAAGATCAAGAAGAAGAAAATTAAGGAAAGTATGTGTGTTTCATTTATTTTTTTCATGAAAGCATCATTTCAGTGTATTTTAATAAACCTGGTATGACGTCAATGGTAGCGTAACTCCAGGAAATGCTAGTATTTCAAGAACATTTCCCAAAATTTTACAACACCGGATTGCCATGTGGACTTCCTACCATATAGTTCAACGTTGTTAAACTCAATAACGGTGTTCTTTGCTATTAGGAAATATCTTGGCCCGCTTTTGGGCCATAACACATGTCAGATAAGAAACGAGGCCCAGGCTATGCCTTATGTTCTTGGACTACCATAGCCTATTGGCATACTAGACTCAATGTAAATACAATGCAATGATATTTTCCTGAAGAAGCAAGGGAACCTCCAAATTCTTCATTTTCATAATTTTGTAGCCTAGCTTTACACAGATACCAGAATTTTTAGGAAATATCTGATACCAGAATTTTTCTTAGATTCTAAGAAAAATTCTGGTATCTGTGGCCTAGGTACAAAAGACATACTACAAGACTAGAATCTAGTCTAGATCAAAGCTTAGTTACCAACCCAAACAGTGATATCTTATTTTAATCCTTCTGCGTTCTAAATTCTTCTAAATACTTCTAAATACAAGAGACTTACCTTTTCCATGTTCATCGCTTTTTCGGCCATATTTCATCCAAGACCCGGATGTAAGACGTTTCGTTCAGTGATTTTTATTTCTCATGTAAACTACTAGTATTTCCCGGGAAATTCATGAATAGCGTAAAATTGTCCAAGTGTGCGTTGAAGTCGGCTACTTATTTCTTATAAGATAGTATCTTATTTAATGTTGCCATGCCTTTTATATTGGATTGCATCAGGTCAACCACGATTAAACTACCTAGAGTTCATAATGTTCCTGTGCACTTTTATTGACCCAGTTCACACCATATTGGCCCGTACTAGAATGTTCCTATGGATCTCACATAATGTTTGACCAGCTCACACATGATTGACCCTGCTCACACAAGATTGACCCGAACTATAATGTCCATATACCTCTCAAACGGATTGAATTAGTCTCTTTAGAGTTTCCCGTACTGAATGTTCCTGTGCAATTTACACACTATTGACCCCGTTCACACCATATTGGCCCATACTAGAATGTTCCTATGGCTCTAACAAACTGTTTGACCGGCTCACACAAGATTGACCCTGCTCACACAAGATTGACCTGAACTGTAAATTGTCCATATACCTCTCACACTGATTGAATTAACTCTCACAAGAGTTTCCCGCACTATACTGTTCCTGTGCAATTTACACACGATTGACCCCGTTCACACCATATTGGCCCATACTAGAATGTTCTTATGGCTCTCACATACTGTTTGACCGGCTCACACAAGATTGACCCTGCTCACACAAGATTGACCAGAACTATAATGTCCATATACCTCTCAAACAGATTGAATTAACTCTCACAAGTGTTTCCCGTACGATAATGTTCCTGTGCAATTGACACACTATTGACCCCGTTCACACCATATTGGCCCATATTAGAATGTTCCTATTACTCTCAAATACTGTCTGACCAGCTCACACAAGATTGACCCTGCTCACACAAGATTTACCAGAACTACAATGTCCATATACCTCTCAAACAGATTGAATTAACTCTCAAAAGAGCTTCCCGTACTATAATGTTCCTGGGCAATTTACACACTATTGACCCCGTTCACACAATATTGGACCATACTAGAATGTTCTAATGGCTCTCACATACTGTTTGACCAGCTCACACAAGATTGACCCTGCTCACACAAGATTGACCCGAACTATAATGTCCATATACATCTCAAAAATATTGAATTAACTCTCACAAGAGTTTCCCGTACTATAATGTTCCTGTGCAATTTACACACTATTGACCCCGTTCACACCATATTGGCCCATACTAGAATGTTCCTATTGCTCTCACATACTGTCTGACCAGCTCACACAAGATTGACCCTGCTCACACAAGATTGACCCGAACTATAATGTCCATATACCTCTCACACGGATTGAATTAACTCTCACAAGAGTGACCCGTACAAGTATGTTCATGTGCACCTCAGGCAATATTGACCCCGTTTACTCCATATTGACCCATACTATAATGTTCCTATGCCTCTCACATACTGTTGCACCAGCTCACACAAGATTGACCCTGCCCACACAAGATTGACCCGTACTGTAAGGGCCATATGTCTCCAAAAAGTGATCGAATTAGCTCAGAAAAGAGTGGTCCGTACTATAATGTTCCTGTGCCATTTACACGCTATTGACCCCGTTCACACCATATTGGCCCATATTAGAATGTTCCTATTACTCTCAAATGCTGTCTGACCAGCTCACACAAGATTGACCCTGCTCACACAAGATTGAACAGAACTATAATGTCCATATACCTCTCACACAGATTGAATTAACTCTCACAAGAGTTTCCCGTACTATAATGTTCCTGTGCAATTTACACACAATTGACCCCGTTCACACCATATTGGCCCATATTAGAATGTTCCTATTTCTCTCAAATGCTGTCTGACCAGCTCACACAAGATTGACCCTGCTCACACAAGATTGAACAGAACTATAATGTCCATATACCTCTCACACAGATTGAATTAACTCTCACAAGAGTTTCCCGTACTATAATGTTCCTGTGCAATTTACACACTATTGACCCCGTTCACACAATATTGGACCATACTAGAATGTTCTAATGGCTCTCACATACTGTTTGACCAGCTCACACAAGATTGACCCTGCTCACACAAGATTGACCCGAACTATAATGTCCATATACCTCTCAAACAGATTGAATTAACTCTCAAAAGAGCTTCCCGTACTATAATGTTCCTGGGCAATTTACACACTATTGACCCCGTTCACACCATATTGGCCCATACTAGAATGTTCCTATTGCTCTCACATACTGTCTGACCAGCTCACACAAGATTGACCCTGCTCACACAAGATTGACCTGAACTGTAAATTGTCCATATACCTCTCACACTTATTGAATTAACTCTCACAAGAGTTTCCCGTACTATAATGTTCCTGTGCAATTTACACACTATTGACCCCGTTCACACCATATTGGCCCATACTAGAATGTTCCTATTGCTCTCACATACTGTCTGACCAGCTCACACAAGATTGACCCTGCTCACACAAGATTGACCCGAACTATAATGTCCATATACCTCTCACACGGATTGAATTAACTCTCACAAGAGTGACCCGTACAAGTATGTTCATGTGCACCTCAGGCAATATTGACCCCGTTTACTCCATATTGACCCATACTATAATGTTCCTATGCCTCTCACATACTGTTGCACCAGCTCACACAAGATTGACCCTGCCCACACAAGATTGTGATGTTCATATAATGTTCCTGTGCCATTTACACGCTATTGACCCCGTTCACACCATATTGGCCCATATTAGAATGTTCCTATTGCTCTCACATACTGTTTGACCAGCTCACACAAGATTGACCCTGCTCACACAAGATTGACCCGAACTATAATGTCCATATACCTCTCACACGGATTGAATTAACTCTCACAAGAGTGACCCGTACAAGTATGTTCATGTGCACCTCAGGCAATATTGACCCCGTTTACTCCATATTGACCCATACTACAATGTTCCTATGCCTCTCACATACTGTTGCACCAGGTCACACAAGATTGACCCTGCCCACACAAGATTGACCCGTACTGTAAGGGCCATATGTCTCCAAAAAGTGATCGAATTAGCTCAGAAAAGAGTGGTCCGTACTACAATGTTCCTGTGCAATTTACACGCTATTGACCCCGTTCACACCATATTGGCCCATATTAGAATGTTCCTATTACTCTCAAATGCTGTCTGACCAGCTCACACAAGATTGGCCCTGCCCACACAAGATTGACCAGAACTATAATGTCCATATACCTCTCACACAGATTGAATTAACTCTCACATGAGTTTCCCGTACTATAATGTTCCTGTGCAATTTACACACTATTGACCCCGTTCACATAATATTGGATCATATTACAATGTTCTTATGGCTCT